CTCGGGGAGTTTGGATCTGTCTATGGGGCCTCCATGACCTTTCCTTGTACAGGTTGTGTTAGTTTCCCCTGTATTGTGTACTGTCTGACCCTTCACCACATGACAGAATTTTGTAAGACCAATGACTTATTCACTGCAAATACCTTTTTCAACAACAGAAACAGGGACTATACATGTGGACGTCACCAGGTGGAAAACACAAGAGATAAAATCTATGGAAAGAGACCACGGAAAACTCAATATCATCTGTCAGAACAAGGCCGGGGCCGAGTGAGGAACAGACCATCAATTGCTCATATGTAAGTTCAAGTTGAACCTGAAGAAAATTAAAACAAGTCCATGAGAACCAAAATATGACCTTGAGTATATCTCACCTGAATCTGGAGACCTTCTCAAGAATAGATTTGATGAATTGAATACTAAGAACAGAAGACCAGACGAGTTGTGGGATGACATAAAGGACAACATACATGAAGAAAGCAAAAGGTCATTAAAAAGACAGGAAAGAAAGAAAAGACCAAAATGGATGTCAGAAGAGACTCTGAAGCTTGCTCTTAAATGTAGAGCAGCTAAAGCAAATGGAAGAAATGTTGAAGTAAAAGAGCTGAACAGAAGATTTCAAAGGCCAGCTCAAGAAGACAAAGTAAAGCATTATAATGAAACGTGCAAAGACCTGGAATTAGAAAGCCAAAAGGGAAGAACACACTTGTCATTTCTCAAGTTGAAAGAACTGAAGAAAAAATTCAAGTGTCGAGTTGCAATACAGAAGGATTCTATGTGTAAAATATTGAATGACCGAGGAAGCATCAAAAGAAGATGGAAGGAACACAGAGTCACTGTACCAAAAAGAATTGGTCAGCGTTCAGCTATTTTAGGAGGTAGCATATGATCAAGAACCAGTGGTACTGAAGATTCAAGTTCAAGCTGCAGTGAAGGCACTGGCAAAAAATAAGGCTCCAGGAATTGACGGAATACCAGTTGATATGTTTCAACAAACAGATACAGTGCTGGAGGTGCTCACTCATCCATGCCAAGAAATTTGGAAGACAGATACCTAGCCAACGAAGTGGAAGAGATCCATATTTGTGCCCATTCCAAAGAAAGGTGATCCAATAGAATGCGGAAATTATCAAACGATATCATTAATATCACATACAAGTAAACTTTTGCTACAGATAATTCAAACACAGTTGCAGCAGTACATTGACAGGGAACTGCCAGATATTCAAGACAGATTCAGAAGAGGACATGGAATGAGGGATATCATTGCTGATGTCAGATCTTGGCTGAAAGCAGAGAATACCAGAAGGATGTTTACCCGTGTTTTATTGACTATGCAAAGGCATTCAACTGTGTGGATCATAACAAATTATGGATAATATTTTGAAGAATGGAAATTCCAGAACACTTAATTGTGCTCATGCGGAACCTGTACATAGACCAAGAGGGAGTTGTTTAAACAGAACAAGGGGATATTGCATGGTTTAAAGTCAAGAAAGGTGTGCATCAGGGTTGTATCCTTTCACTATAGTTATTCAGTCTGTATGCTGAGCAGAAAATCCAAGAAGCTTAGACTATCTGATGAAGAACATGGCATCAGGATTGATGGAAGACTCATTAACAACCTGTGATATGCAGATGACACAGTTTTGTTTGCTGAAAGTGAAGATGACTTGTAGCACTTACTGATGAAGATCAAAGACTTCAGCCTTCAGTATGGATTACATCTCAACATAAAGAAAACAAAAATCCTCACAACTGGACCAATAAACAACATCATGATAAATGGAGAAAAGATTGAAGTTATCAAGGATTTCATTTTACTTGGATTTGCAATCAACGCCAATGGAAGCAGCAGTCAAGAAATCAAACGACATATTGCATTGGGCAAATCTGCTGCAAAAGACCTCTTTAAAGTGTTGAAAAGCAGGAGGTGGGGCCAAGATGGCAGAGTAGTCAGATGCTTCCAGAGGTACCTCTTATAACAAAGACCCGAGAAAACAAGTGAATCAATCATGTATGACAATCTGGGAGCCCTGAACATCAAAGGCAAAGTTGAGGAATCAGACTAAGTGGCAGGAGGAGGGAGAGATGGTTCAGAAGCAGTGAGGAGTTGCCAGATCTGACCTGGTGGGAACTAGCACCCTGTAGGCCATATTGGCTGGTGTGTGAGGCGAGGCAAGCAGTGGTGTCCAGGACATATTTTCCACACCGGTAGAGACCGAGTTGAGGAGAGTCTACTCAAGCCTCTAGAACCAGCGAAAAGCGGTTTCAATCAGCAAAAGATTAAGTAAATGCGTCTAACCTACCACGTTGGTCAAAAAACACCCTGTTTGGGAAGAACCTCTCTCCCATTTTTCCTGCTCCCTCCTGGCTCAGCACCAGATCTGGGCCAGCTTCAGTGATTGCCACATGCCCTGGGCCTGAAGTAGGACCCTTTACATGCCCTGAGCCATTCTCCCAGTCTTGTAGAGGGAACAAATTAACAAACAGGAAAAAAAATAATCTGCCAGCTCCCCTAAGCCTGGAACTCAGGACAGGCACATCTCCCTAGACACAAGCATAATGGGTCCACGGACTTTGAATGCCTTTCACCCCTGCATAGACCTGTGTTGGTCCATTTCAAAAGTGTAGGCCCTTGTTAGCATAGTATAATAGGGTATACACCTGAAGCCTAACTTCAACTGTATCAGCTATATGGTGGAGTGGCAAGTTTGTGACATTTGACACCACTCTGCCCATTAAACAGGGTCCTCACCTACCCACATCCGGGGCCTGAGGGCTGGTCGCTCCACCCACGCCACCTAGCCACCTGGGACAGGGGTCCAAAAATAAGTGGCACCTCCCAGTCCTTACAGTCAACAGCTTTGGGTGCCCATAGTCCGGCTGCAAAATCCACCCACCTATGCATTCTAGGGAACAGGGACACACTTTCCTCCCAGGCACTCAGGGGCAACCATCAGCCCCCTGCCTTGCTCAGCGCGTGAACCCCTACTGCAGCCAGATACCTGTGCCTACTCCAATCACCCTTGCCTATCTAGGACTGTAGGTGAGAGCCTGCACCACACACTTGGTGACCGATTACCTGGACACCTGAGCTGAATCCATACAAGAAAAGTAAACATACTCCTAGGCTCACATACCTAGTAACAGATCTGACCACCTCGTGACAGGACGTTAGAAATTCAAAGGTGCCAATAATCAAACTAGCTCACATGAGCAGCCTATTTGGGCATATTAAAATAAAGTAAAACAAGAAGCTAGGGCACAGTAAGCAAACATAAATAAATATAATAACTTATTGATGGCTTGGAGACAACAGTCAATATCAAGTAACATAAAGAGGCAGACCATGAAGGCTTCAGCAACTGCCCAAAACAAAGAATCAAGAAATCTTCCGGAGGAAGAGAATTTCTTGGAATTACCGGAGGTAGAATACAAAAGATTAATATACAGAATTATTCAAGAGATCAGGCAAAATGCAGAAATATCCAAGGAACACACAGACAAAGCAATAGAGAAGCTTAAGAAGATTAGAGAAGAGCATAATGACAAATTTAACAGGCTGCAAGAATCCATAGAGACAGCAAACAGAAATCCAGAAGATTAACAATAAAATTTCAGAATTAGACAAATCAATAGAAAGCCATAGGAAGAGAACTGGGGCAATGAAAATTAGAATTAGTGAGACTGAAGATAAAGCACTTGACACCAATTTATTTGAGGGAAAATCAGATAAAAAAAATTTTTAAAAAATGAAGAAACCCTAAGAATTATGTGGGACTGTATCAAGAGGAATAACCTACAAATGATTGGAGTACCAGAACAGGGGAAAATAACAGAAAATACAGACAGAACTGTTGAAGATTTGTTGGCAGAAAACTTCCCCGATATTGTGAAAGATGAGAAGATATCTATCCAAGATGCTCACTGAACCCCACACAAGGTAAATCCTGAAGTGTTGAAAAGCAATGACATCACATTGAAGACTAAAGTGCACCTGACCCAAGCCATAACATTTTCAATCACTTCATATGCATGTGAAAGCTGGACAATGAATAAGTAAGACCAAAGAAGAATTGATCCCTTTGAATTATGGTATTGGTGACAAATATTGAATATACCATGGACTCCCAGCAGAACGAACAAATCTGTCTTGGAAGAAGTACAGCCAGAGTGCTCCTTGGAAGCGAAGATGGTGAGACCTCGTCTCACATACTTTGGACATGTTATCAGGAGTGACCAGTCCTTGGAGGACATCGTGCTTGGTAATGCAGAGGGTCAGAGAAAAAGAAGACCTTTGACAAGATGGACTGACACAGTGGCTGCAACAATGGGCTCAAAGGTAGCAAAGATTCTGAGGACAGCGCAGGACTGGGCAGTGTATCATTCTGTTGCATATAGTGTCACTATGAGTCTAAACCAACTTGATGGCACCTGTCATGGATTGAACTGTGTCCCCCAGCAATGTGTGTCAACTTGGTTAGGCCATGATTCCCTTGGTTGTCCTCCATTTTGTGATGAATGTAATTTTCCTATGTGTTGTAAATCCTAATCTCTGTCTATGGTTAATGAGGCAAGATTAGATTATGTTAAAGAGGATTAGGGTGGGATGTAACACCCTTGCTCAGGTCACATCTGTAATCCAATGTAAATGGAGTTTCCCTGGGATGTGGCCTGCACCACCTTTTATCTTAAAAGAGATAAAAGTAAAGGGAAGTGAGCAGAAAGGGGGGGGACTTCATACCACCAAGAAAGAAGCATCGGGAGAGGAGCTTGTCCTTTGGACCCAGGGCTCCTGTGCAGAGAAGCTTCTAGTCCATGGGAAGATTGATGACAAGGACCTTCCTCCAGAGCTGACAGAGAGAGCCTTCCCCTGGAGCTGACACCCTGAATTTGGACTTGTAGCCTACTAGACTGTGAGAGAATAACTTCTGTTGTTGAAGCCATCCACTTGTGGTATTTGTTATAGCAGCACTAGGTAACTAAGACAGCACTTAACACCAAGAACATATGGGATTAAACTGACAACAGAATAAGTGGGAAATTTAGGGGCCAGTGTGTTTATGTTAATGAAGGAGGAACAATTTGGAAAAGGAGAGTGAGAATGGTTGCATGACTCAAATGTGATCAGTGTCACTGAATTGTACATGTAGAAATGGTTGAACTGGTCTATGTTTTCCTGTGTATATTCTCAACAACAAAATAAAATCTAAAAAGAAAAAAAAAGGTGGAAGCAGGGTTTTTTTTCTTAGTATTATATATATATTTATTTTTTTGTTGTTGAAAATATACATAGCAGAACATACACCAATTCAACCATTTCTACATGTATAATTCAGTGACATTGATTACATTCTTCAAGTTGTACAACCTTTCTCACCCTCCGAGTGGTTCCTCCTCCATTAACATAAACTCACTGCCCTCTAAGGTTCCTGTCTAATCTTTCAAGTTGCTGTTGTCAATTTGATGCCATATAGATAGTTCTTCGAAGAGCATAATGCTCAAAGCAGACATTTTTTACTAGTTAAGCTAACCTACTGTTTGGTTTTAATAAGACTTCTGGGGATATTTTTAGTTTAAGTTTTAAAGATTATCTCAGGGCAGTAGTTTCAGGGGTTCATCCACCCCCATTGCTCCAGAAAGTCTGGAATCCATGAGAATTTTAAATTCTATTGTGCATTTCCCTCTTTGATCAGGATTCTTCTATAGAACCTTTGATCAAAATGTTCAGTAATGGTAGCTGGGCACTATCCCATTCTTCTGGTCTCATGGCAAAGGAGGCAGTTATTCATGGAGGCTATTAGTTGCACATTCCATATCCTCCTCCTGTTCCTGACTTTCCTTCTTCCTCTCTTGCTCCAGGTGAATAGCGACCAATTGTCATGCCTGGGATAGCCACTTGCAAGCTTTTAAGACCCCAGGTGCTATGCAACCAACTAGGAGGTAGAATAGACCTGCTTCCACCTTTTGCTAGCTGGATGGCCTTGGGTAAGTCACCTCACCTCCAACGCGGTTTCCTCACTTGTTAAATGGAGATAATAACTCCTGTCTCATAGGGTTGTTGTGAGCCGTCAATGAGATGATGGGTATCTAAGCGCCTGGCTTATGTTAGCTACCTCTTTTCCCTTCTCTCTAATTATGTTAGTCCCTGGCCCTCCTGGCTCTCACTGAGGCTGTTCTCTGAGCCTTGTGGGACTGTCAGTATCTTCTCTGTTAGACACTCAAGCTAAGCCCCCATCTCCTACACACACACTACACCACTGCACCCAACCACCATGCCCAGCACCAGTAACTACCTGAAATCACTTGTCCTTGACTCCATCTGATTGACAGAAGATGAGGAATGCAGTCAGGGCCCTGGGTTCTAGTCCTGCCTTTACCATTAACTAACAGTGTGACCTCAGACAAGTCCCAAGTTCCTGCCCATCTATGGGCCTGTTTTACTCCACAAAAATAAAAAACATTTGTACTAAGAGGGGGTGGGACCTGACACTCACTAAGGTTTCTTCCATTTTGATCAGGTCCTGATGAGCACCAGAGTGTGAAGCACAGAAAAGCAGCCAACAAGAGTTTGAATAGTTTGAAACTTTATTGTGAACAAGTACTGGCTTGAGGATTCAGGTCTACAGGCAACTTCTCAAGTCAAGGTTAGACAAGGAGAGGCAGGGGGATGCCTGAGCCTTCTCGGGCCAGTGCAGGGCTGGGGACAGGGCCAGGACTTGAGGCCTAATATATTGCTGGACTCTGCCCTCTGAATCCCAGCCAAGTCAGGGAAGGCCAGAGGGGACCCAAGGCCCTACTTACTACCTGACCTAGGGAGGGACAGGGTGAAGCCCAGGTCACTCAAAGACAGAAGAGTAGGTACTATCAGGACAGGACTCTTGGCTCCCCAAGACCCAGAAGAGGGGCTCTTCTCTGGGGACATTCTGGGTCACATAGAAGGGGTTCCCCCAGCATCATCTACCCCCAACCTGGGAAAGGCTGAAACCTGAACAAACACGGATCCCCACATAGCAGGTAGGAAGGAAGAGGATGAGACAGGGCCAAGGGGACAACTTCAGGGAGTGAGCTCAGCCTTCCATTTCTGAAGCTTCTTGTCCATGGCCTGGAGCGTGGCTTCATCCTGCATCAACACAGTTCGGTGCTACCCTTCTTCCCAGAGGACCTCGAGGAGCTTGAAGAGACCTTCCCTCCCCCAGCCCTGCACTTTACCTTTATAAAGCAGAAGCGAACATAGTGGTCAAAGTGCTTCTGATGTGGGACACTGTAGAAGATGGAGACCGGGATGGCCGACAAGCCCTGGGGAGGGGGAAGCCCGTGTCTCAACATGGCTCTGTGGCCTGCAGGCCAGGCTCCAGTGCAAGGAGGGCACAGAGCAGTTCCCACGATGGGGCAGGGGAAGGAAATTTAGCTCGTATGCAGCAGCTCTCACCCCCAAGGTCAGAGGAAAAGAATTCCAGAGCATCATTCCAACTCCCTCCTTGTTAGAGGGCAGATGAAGGCTAAGAGAAGGGAAGATGATACATAGAAATCATGAGAAGAAATAAGCCTTACAATCATAGATTGGAGCTGGAGAGACCTTTGAGATCATGGGCCAACTCCTCACTGTACAGATGGGAAGACTGAGGCCCAGAGCGGGCAGGAACTCCTGCCAGCTCACATGATATCTCTGTGCAAGTTAGAAACTGGTTCCCCATTCCTTGAAGTGGATGCAACCCTGCACCAGGGCTCGTGATAGTGGCTGGGCTGGAGTTTGACCCACTAGCCCCTTGGCCAGTGCTCTCGAGCAGTGCACAACTTGTAAAACCATACACAGTGGCCCTGACAGAGGCCAACCCACCTTGTTCTTGATCATCCACTTGACGAAACGTCTGTCATAGGCCTCATCCTCAGCACCAGGCAAGTTGGGCATCTTGCTCTCTGGGGGACAGAGGCTATGCTGAACCCTGGGCAGCCTCCAGTCCCTCAGCACCCCCATACCCTGCCCAGCCTGGCCAGTCCCACTCACTGAAGTCTGAGATGTCTGTGATAAGGAAGTAGCTGCCCTGGGGGATGACGGGCCTCAGGCCCACTGACTGCAGGCTGCGTGTCACGTGGTCCCGTTTGTGCTGTGTGGCCTGTAGGAGCTGTACAAAGTAGCTGCTGGGCTGGCCGAAGTGCTGCTGCTCCCGCTCAAAGCTCCAGGCTACTGCAGCCTGGGGTACGTGGGTAGACAAACAGATATGGCAGGTGTGACCTGACCCTGTGGGTAGCCTGGGCTCTTCTGTTGTCCCTCCCCCGCAATGTGGGCTCCCCTGCCCCTCCTCACCTGGGCCTGTGTGGGACAATGAAAGATAGAGTTCTGGTGCACAGTCCGCAGGTGCTTCATGAGCTGATCTGGGCCCAGGACCCAGCCCACCTGGATCAGGAACACAGGTAGGGGGTGAGGCCCTCCAAGGCCTGGCCAAACCCTTCTGAAATTCCCAGGCCCACCTTTCCTGCCAAGAATTACGGTGGCACCCTCATCCACTCACCTTCCAGCCAGTGGCGCTAAAGGTCTTGCCGGCGCTGCCAATGGTCAGGGTGCGTTCCCACATTCCAGGGAGGCTGGCTGCCCAAGGCCAAAGAGAACAGCTGCTGAGATGGCGGTAGTGGGTGGGGCAGGGGAGGTGTATAGCCTGGGTCCCAGGGGGCACTCAGAGGCTCTCAACACTGAGGAATCTGCCAAGCGCTGAACTATTTACAGGACATACTCTTTTTTAAAAAATTTTTTTAAGTACTTTAGATGAAGGTTTACAGAACAAATAGTTTCTCACTAAACAGTTAGTACACATATTGTTTTATGACATTGGTTAACAACCCCACGACATGTCAACACTCTCCCTTCCTGACCTTGGGTTCCCTATTACCAGCTTTCCTGTCCCCTCCTGCCTTCTAGTCCTTGTCCCTGGGCTGTTGTGTCCCATTAGTCTCGTTTTGTTTTATGGGCCTGTCTAATCTTTGGCTGAAGGGTGAACCTCGGGAATGACTTCGTTACTAAGCTAAAAGGGTGTCCGGGGGTTTCTGCAGTCTCTGTCAGGCCACTAAGTCTGGTCTTCTTTTGTGAGTTAGAATTTCGTTCTACATTTTACTCCAGCTCTGTCCAGGACCCTCTGTTGTGATCCCTGTCAGAGCAGTCAGTGGTGGTAGCCGGGCACCATCTAGTTGTACTAGACTCAGTCGGTGGAGGCCGTGGTAGTTGTGGTCCATTAGTCCTTTGGACTAATCTCTCCCTTGTATCTTGTTTTCTTCATTCTCTCTCACTCTCGAAGGGGTGAGACAAGTGGAGTATCTTAGACGCCAGCTCACAGGCTTTTAAGACCCCAGACGCTACTCACCAAGGTAGAATGTAGAACATTGTCTTTATAAACTATGTTGTGCCAGTTGAGCTAGATGTTCCCCGAGACCATGGTCCCCACAGCCCTCAGCCCAGCAATTCGGTCCCTCAGGGAATTTGGAAGTGTCTATGAAGTTTCCATGACCTTACCTTGTACTAGTAGTGCTGCCTTCCCCAGTTTTGTGTACTGTCTTACCCTTCACCAAAGTTACCACTTATCTATTGTACAGGACTCATTCTATCTCCTCCTCATCACCACCCAGGCAGGCAGGTGCTATTGCAATCCCCTTTTTAGAGAGGTGAAGTCACTGCCCAAGGTCATGCAACCCGTGTGGCTCTAGATCCCTCAGTCCTAATCACCAGGCCTGTACCAACTCCCAGACTGGGCTCACTGCCCTGCCACTGGCAAAGCAGGCCTGGCCAGAGAAAACGTCCAGAGCAGTGGGGGCACCAGTGCTCACCAATGCTGATGTGCTGGTTCCCGTCGAAGACCAGCCACTGGTAAACCTCATCACTGATGCACACCACGTCATGCTGCTGGCACAGGCTGGCCACCAGCTCCAGTTCTGCCTTGGAGAAGACCTGTGAGGACCCAAGAGGGCACAGGGCTGTGACTGGAAGCCTCCCCCTCAACATCCTCAGGGGGGCCTGGTCAGAGAGGTTAAAGGATATGGCTGAGCCTGGTGCTTAGGGCTTTACCTGCATTAGCCCACTGAATACCTGCAACATTGGCTCCATGAGTTTGGTCCTGCCATGTTCCCATTTTACAGATGAGGCAACATTTCAAGAAGCAAAGTCACTGTCCCAAGGTCACTGGGAAATGACGGTGGCACCCAGCCCATTAGCCCTGGCATCTTCCCTGGGGATTCTTGCCCGTCCCTGGGACCTCTGGGAGCCTCAGTCCTCAGACAGGATCTGGGGACAGAGATCCTGAAAGACCCAAGCCTGAGGAATGACCTTGGAGCCCACTGTATGCAGCCTTCCCACTTCACAGATGAAGAAACTGAGGCCCAGAGGAAAGGAGGACTCAGTTGCAGAATATCAGTAACAGAGCTGAGACTTGAATTAAATCTGGAGGGCTCCTGGTAAGGAAGTCCCTCAAGTACCTTTCCCAGCGGGTTGCTGGGTGTGTTGAGGACCAGGGCTTTGGTGCGAGATGTGAACTTGTTGGCCAGCTCTGTGGGGTCCAGCTGCCAGTTGCTGCTGTAATCTAGTTCCCCGTCCTGCGAAGGGCTCTGCAAGAGGAGGTAGGAGGGGGTGGACAATACTCACCTTCCCAACAGACATTCAACTCAAGGGATTTGGCCCTCCTTCCCACAGTATCTGTCTCTATCCCTTTCCTCTGGAGCTCTGAACCACCCCTCCCCCCATCTCAGAGGAACTCAGTGGCCTCCTTCAATTCCTTCTTTCTTTCCTGCTTACCAGGGTCCAACCCAGCCTACCCTTTGGGCTCCTTTGCCCACCTGCAACCCACTCAGAATCCTTACCGGCTTCAGGGGCACAAACACAGGGCGACCCCCTGCCATCAATGTCATGGGCTCGTAACAGTCAAAGTAGGGTTCAATGATGATGACCTGGGTACAAGGGCCAGATTAGCTGGACTCAGCCCTGCCTTGAACCCTCACCTCAATCTAGCCCAAGCCTTGCCTACTCACCTCATCTCCTTCATCCACCAGGGCCTGGAAGGCTGTGAACAGGGCCCCGTAAGCACCCACAGTCACCAGGACATTCTTGAGCGGCTCCATCTCCTGCCCCAGTAGCTTCCCAAAGAAATCTGCTAGGACTTTCGTCAGCGGTGGGTAACCCTGCCAGGACAGCTGGGGTCAGCAGCCTCAGCCACATGAGCCCAGACTGGGCCTACCCTTCTACTTAACTGGGTCCAGGTAACTGGACCTTCCAGCTGCAGACCTCAGGGCAAAGTCGGCTCCTGTGAGTGAGTTCTTTCATCTCCTCCACCAAGCACTGACTCTATTCTGTGTCAGGCCCAGTGTCCACAGCTGGGATTTGGTGAAGCATGGTCTAAGGGAGCCCCTGAAGCACTTGGAACTCCACAGTTTAAACATATCCCTTTGCAGCTTAAGAAGCTGCCCATATGATCCTCCCAGTAGCCTTGCAAGAGAGGCATTATTTGATCCCCATTGTTTGACAGGTGGAAATTAGAAATCCAGAGAAAGGAAATGACTTTCCCAAGGTCACACACAGTTAAGGCCTAATAGGACTGTATGTTGCAGCCTTGGAAGCACCCCACTTTGAGAGGAAAATTAGATCTGTTAAGTTTATATGCTGAAGATACTTAAAAAATACTCAAGGCTAAGCCAAGAGACTGAAACCTAAGGTCTAGAGCCTAAGTAAATAACTTACTTAACCAGATTTGACCAGGTAAAAATTAAAATTTTCTGTAGAATAAAAGATACCATGAAAAAATTAAAAGACAAAGAGGAAAAAATTGCAACATTAAGAGAAAAAGATAATATATAAAGAGCTCGTACAAAGCAATAAGATATATATCCAAATGAAAAAATGCAAATGAGCAAAGGTAGTTTATGAAATAAAAAAAACTGATGTCCAATATACATATGAAAATAATAACAATCAAAGAAAAGCAACACTGAAAATATCACTAGAATATTATAAGAATTAAATGCTAATATAAGCACATATGAAAGAGATTGATAATGCCCACAGCTGGCAAGGATGTGGGAGAAATGAATCCTCTTTCTGGTCCAGGGAACTTCCCAGCCATTTATATTAAAAAAAAAAAAAAAAAAAATACAAATCTTATATGGAGGGGTGTGTGTGTGTGTGTATGAGCATGTGTAAAATGTGGGTTCATATAGGCATTTAGAAAGTTTAAAAGTCTGGAAGACTATAGAGCAAACTATTGACAGTGGTTCTCTCTAGACAGTGGAATTAGAAGGACCTTCCTTCTAGGTAATTCTGATCATACCAAAGTTTAAGAACCATGCTCTAATCCAGGAGCAAATACTTACTATGCGGTCTTTTAGAGAACAAGCTTGGACTGGAGTCTAACCCAATCAACAGCTTGTCTTTAGGGCTTAGTTTAGGTGTCACCTCCCCCAGGAAGCCTTCCCTGACCCACCCACCCCCAGGTTACATTCTCTTCTTACTGCCCCCACAGTGCCTCATCCTCCTCCATCACAGCATTTATTAACTGGCTTTGTCATTGCTAGTTTCTTGTCTGCCTTCCCCACTAGACCCAGAACTCTCAGGATGGGGCCTGGAACAGGGAGGTACTCAGTGAACACTGAACTATGGCCGGCCTGAATTCTTTGGCTCTGCCCCAAGCCACCTTCTGGCCAACTGATGTGGTTTTCAGGAGCCCTGACACCCACATGGGCTTAGTATTCCCCTCCTCCCCCTGGGCCTTCTCAGCAGCCTGTGTCCAGGGGCCTGGGAGGGGCCAGGAGACTCACAAATGCCTTGGTATACTGATTGAGCATGAAGTCCCCACTGACAGCATGCTGAAAGGCTTCCATGGCAAAGTCTGGGGGTGCGAAGTCGGGGAAGCCCTGGCCCAGGTTCACGGTCTCATTTTCACTGGCCAGTTTGATAAACTCCACCCTGAGTGACAAGCAGAGAGTTGGTAACAGTCCATCCCAACCTGGACTTCTGCTTGCTTTCAGGGCAGGGTAAGGAAGGCACAGGCCCTGTTCTAGAAAAACTGAACAACCAGCTTCCAACCCCAGCCTGGAACTCTGTGTGAGGGTCATAACTAGTCCCATCCTTTGAGCTTAGGTGGCCAAGCACTATGCCAAGGGCCTGTACGAGCCCAGGCGCTTTCCAGCTTTTTTGAACGTGAGGCACAGTAAAGAATTAATCTTTACATCACAAACCCTGTGGAGCAGAAACATCACCCTTCTAGATGTGATCTACCTATTGCAGTATTTTCTATTCTCTCCTCTCCTTTAAAAACACCTGTTGAACTCCCTTAAGTGGATTTCATGACCCACTAGTGCATTTGTCAAGACCAAAGTTTGAAACACTCTGATCAAATAATCTTCCCAATAGTCTTACGAGGCACTATGCAGATGGAGAAGCTGAGACTTGCAGTGACTTGCCCAAGGTCTCCCTGTTAGGGCATGACAGAGCCAGGCTTTAATGTCACATCTGTCTGAAGCAAAGTTTATGCTCTTGACCACTACCCTGGACAGATGGGGGCCCCACCAGCCCCGGCCCCTACCGTCTCTGGCCCCCAATAACCTTTCTTCTGGCTCTGCCTGGGGACCACCCATCTAGAGAAATGGAGAGGCTGAGAGGTTGGATGAGGGGCTAGTATGTGGTTCCCAGGTGGCTGGGGGCAGAGGAGTCAGGCTTGAGCTCCACTCAGTTGATCTGCATAACAATAAATATCATGTCTAAAATTTGCCATTTTCTCCCCAGAGCTCCCCAATGCCTCTGAAGACACACTGGGTTGCTGAGGCTCAGGGAGGGCAGTGACCGGCCGAGAGTCACACAGTGGCTAATGGCAGAGCTGAGACTCAACATCAGGTGGTAGATGCTCCACAGTAGATGGACCTAGGGGCTGGGGGAGCCAAGCAGGGTGAAGCTGAGATTCGAACCATGCCTGCTGCCTTGGACCAGAGTCTTTGCTTGACACCAGCAGCCTCCTGGCCTCTCCTTGGCTGTGGCTGCGGCTGCGGCTGCAATCTCAGAGACCATGCGCTGCGCCATCCTGGGTCCCGCTGTCATATTCTACAGACTCGACGGCCACACCTGTCCCACCCCGGTGCCCTAGGGGGCACCAAACACATCCCTGGCCCGGCTCACCATGGGTTTTTGTCGAGCCCATCCAGCCTTCGGGCCTGCAGCTGCTTGGCCATGGCGACCTGGAGACAGCAAGAGGGCAGTTAGGGTCCGTTCAGGTATGGCAGCCTGGTCCCGCTGTAGGAAGTGGCTGGTTTCTGGGCACATCTCCACCTCTTATACGTCCTGGGAAGCAGCAAAGATCAGAGATGCCAGACAGTGGATTCCGTCACTGGCCTGCTTCCCCACCCTGTCCAGACAAGTTCCTCTCCATTCTACCATCCTCCAAACCACCCACATGGGGAACCGGCCGGCCTAGCCTCTCCTGGGAAAGCTGGGCCCCTCCCCAGATAGAGCCCTGATTCAACAGGGTTAAAGTTTGATTGAGGGAGGGCTAGGTGATGAGGAGGAGAAGCAGGGTGGGGGAGGAGAACGGCAATTATAACAGCAGCTCCCATTTAGGGAGGTCTTGCTGTGTACCTGGCCCTTGTTAAGCCTTTTCATTTAATTCTCAGAACAATTTGCAGGCAGTATGGCTGGGCCCATTTTACAGATGAGAAAATGTGGTGATGAGGAGGAGTGTTCTGCTCAAGGTCACGCAACAAATACACTCAGACCGAGGCCTGTTTGACACAGGCCACATTCTGACTCAGGAGAGGGGTACACTCTCAGTCCCGGAGGGCCTCACTCCCCCTCTACACCTGCTTCTCCTGCATTCCTCCCGGGACAGCTTCCTCCTCACCCCTACATATGTAGAAACTGGCTTGGGCGTGAGAGTCACCAAACTCAGGTCCTAAGCCTGCCTTGGATGAGTGACATTGGGCAGGTGGTTTGGCTTCTCCTGGCCTCAGTGTCCCCACCAGCACCGGCTCTGGCCCAGATGGCTAGTAGGTAGTGCAGCCAGGTCTCTAACATTAGCTGTGGTGAACAGGGACCCCTTGCTGTGTCCTTCCTGTGCTCATGATCTTGCTCAGTCCCCACAGCTTCCCCAGTAGGAGATGCCATGATAGTTCCCACCTAACAGATGAAGATACTGAGGCTCAAAGAGGTGCAGACCTGTCCAAGGTCAGCAGAATAGCTAGCCAGGACCCTGGTCAGAATGGCTGCAGCAGCAGAGCTCCCAGCATCAGGTCCCCTGCCCTGGAGGGGGACACCAGGGACCATCTGTACAGGTGCCCCTTTTTCCCCATAGCCTGGGTGTCCTGCTGATGTGAGTGATTTGCAAAGAGCCCAGCATGGGGCACGGCACTTAGTGGGCACTTTGCCAACACTGGCAGCCCTGCCCCTTCACTGAACCCCTGGCACCTGTCACCAAGCCTGGCACTGAGTACACATCAAAATAGTTTAGAACAAGGGTGATCCCTGCCAAGGAAAATCACCTTATAACCAAAATGTTAGTGGTGCTTATCGTTGGTTCGTTTGTTAACAGATGTTTTTTATTCTTTTCTAAATTTTCTAAAATAAATGTTTTACTTTATGATTTAAAAGTGTAGGAGATAATCACTAGGATATTTATTGACATAATGTATCGATATCAATATAATAGGCTACAAAATAGTACTGCAGTCTGATTCTGTTTTGTAAAAAAAAAAAAAAAAACCCAATTAATAAGTCTTTGTATATACATACATGTTTTCTATGAACATATATGCATAGAAAAAAAGTTTGGAAAGATACACATCAAAATGTTAACAAAGGTTTTCTCTGGGTGGTGAAATTCTGAATGATTTTAATTTAGTGTGTGCTTTTTTCTGTTTCCAAATTTGTTGCACAGTGAACATACCATACTTGATTGATTCTAATATGTGCATTTTTTCACATTGCAGTATCTCTGAATTCAGGTGCATCTAACCATCGATAGCATGAGTTTAACTGGCATCTTGTTTCTCTCTGGTCCATAAAATAACAGCACATCTTACAACTGATGGCATTTTGGATTCGATGATATGTGGAAATGATTTTGAATTGGGGATGCATCATGTTAAAAAAATAAGGTGAAGATGACTCAGAGAGAGCAGTGGGAGAAGGTGGGGGAGGAAGGTGGAGTGAGGGAGTTTGAAGAGGGCTGGAATGGAGTGCAGGGGCACAAACAGAGAGGAAGAAGAAAAGAGGAGGTGAAGAAAGTTGAATGGGTTTAAGAAGGGAATAAATAAGGGTACCCCAGAAACTTGGGGGTGCTCAAAGGCGTGACCTTCAAGTAAATCAAAGAGTGCTTGGATAAGTGAAGAAACAGTGCCTGTTCTTGGGCTTATGCATAATGTATTCATTCAGCCAACGTTTATTGAGCCCTTACTGTGTACTGAGTCCTGGGCTTGGGCATGAGGCATGAAGTGGGAGGCAACAGCACCAAGCAGATCATTCAGGTGCAGAGGAATAACCTTCAGACTAGAGGCAAGTGCAAGGGAGGGGCCCATATCTAGGCTGTAATAAGGAAAGAGGAGGCTATACACAGCTTTGAAGCCAGGGGCAAGCCAGACCCCAGGAACCCCACGCATGCAGGTGGCAGAGTGGAGGGGTTGGAGCACTTACAGTCTGGTGCAAGCACCCGGCGAGCGAGGAGGCTCCAGCCTTCTTTCCCTGGAGGGGCCCTGCCAAGTGCGAAAAGATGGCCGCCACATTCCTGAACATGCTTCCCTGAGCGACAGGCCACTGCTGACTTCTCCAAGGGCAGAAGAGAAGGGAGAAGAGAGTCCCAGCCAGAAAACGATTCCGAGCCCAGGACTTGGGTCCCACACATACAGCTCTAACAACAACAACAATAATGGCTAATAATTATGGAGTGGTCGCTGCATGCCAGGTATGACACCAAATGTTTTATTGCATGATTATCCCACTCAATCCTTATATCAACCCTGTGACCTACCCACACAGCAACCAGAGTGACCCTTTCAAAGTATAAATCACTTCTACCGAAAACATGATCCAGGCAAGGATCACCAATGGCACCTAACATCACAGAGTCAATCCAACATCCTGTGCCATCTCTGTTAACACACACACTACCTGCAAATTATTGCTGCTGAAGAACTGAACCTAAATCAGATCACACCTCTAGATCCAGCTACCAGTTTACAGGAAACACAAGAAATCTGGAAGACAGATACCTAGCCAACCAACTGGAAGAGATCCATATTTGTGCCCATTCCAAAGAAACGTGATCCAACAGAATGTGGAGATTATCCAACAATATCATTAAAATCACACGCAAGTAAAAATTTGCTAAAGATAATTCAAACACAGTTGCAGCAGTACATTGACAGGGAACTGCCAGAAATTCAAACCAGATTCAGAAGAGGACGTAGAACAAGAAATATCATTGTTGATCTCAGATGGATCTTGGCTAAAAGCAGATAATATCAGAAAGATATTTACCTGTGTTTTATTGACTATGCAAAGGCATTCGACTGTGTGGATCGTAACAAATTATGGATAACATTTCGAAGAATGGAAATTCCAGAATGCTTAATTGTGCTCTTGTGGAATCTGTACATAGACCAAGAGGCACTCATTCAAACAGAACAAGGGGATACTGTGTGGTTTAAAATCAGGAAGGTATTCGTTGGGGTTGTATCCCTTCACCATACTTATTCAATCTGTATGCTGAGCAAATAATCTGAGAAGCTGGACTATTCGAAGAAGAACACAGCATCAGGATTGGAGGAAGACTCATTAACAACCTGCGACATACAGATGACACAACCTTGCTTGCTGAAAGTGAAGATGACTTGAAGCACTTACTGATGAAGATCAAAGACTACATCCTTCAGTATGAAGCACATCAACATAAAGAAAACAAAAATCCTCACAACTGGACCAATGAACAACATCATGACAAACGGATAAATATTGAAGTTGTCAAGGATTTCATTTTATTTGAATCTATAATCAACGCCCATGGAAGCAGCAGTAAAGAAATCAAACGACGTACTGCATTGGGCAAATCTGCTGCAAAAGACCTCTTTAAAGTGTTGAAAAGCAAAGATGTCACTTTGAGGACTAAGATGTCACTTTGAGGACTCAAGCCATGGTATCTTCAATCGCCTCATCTGCATGCGAAAGCTGGACAATGAATAAACAAGACCGAACAAGAATTGATGTTTTCAAATTATGGTGTTGCCAAAGAATATTGAATATTCCGTGGACTGCCAGAAGAACGAACAAGTTTGTCTTGGAAGAAATACAGCCAGAGGGCTCCTTCGAAGTGAGAATGATGAGACTTTTCACATGTACTTTGGACATGTTATCAGGAGGAACCAGTCCCCTGGAGAAGGACATCATGTTTGGTAAGGTAGAGGGTAAGTGAAAAAGAGGAAGACCCTGGACAAGATGGATTGACACAGTGCCTGCAACAGTGGGCTCAAACAGCAAAGATTGTGAGGATGGTGCAGGACTGAGCAGTGTTTCGTCCTGTTGTACACAGGGTCACTATGAGTCAGAACCGACTCCACAGCACCTAAAAACAACAATGTATGGGGCCAGGCATTCTCAGGAGGCATGTGCTCAAGTATCTAGGTGTGAAGGGTCATGATGCCTGCAACTTGCTTTCAAAGCATTCAGACAAGAAGCCATATATATACAAAGGCACAAGTGGGACTAGCAAACACACCCAAAATGTGAACTAGCAATCAATCTGGGTGGTGGGCATATGAGTGTCCACCATACAGTTCTTTCAACTTTGTTGTACATTTGAATTTTTCAAAATAAAAAGTTGAGGGGAAAAGGAGACATATCTACCAAATGCAATGTGTGGACCTTGTC